CTTACACTGACAGACATACTGACTGACACACACATACACACACAGACATACTTACATACACACACAGACATACTGACACACAAAGACATGCTGACACACACACACAGACATACTGACATACACACAGACAGACTGGCACATACACACAGACAGACATTAAAACATTCACAGATACATACTGACACACACATACACTGACACACAAATATATCCTGGCAGACATACTGACACACATACACGTACACACACACAGACTTACTGACACACACACACAGACATACACACACAGACATACTGACATACAGACACACACACACAGACATACAGACACACACACACAGACATACAGACACACACACACATACACATACTGACTGACACACACACATACTGACACACACATACTGACACACACACACATACTGACACACACACATACTGAGACAGACACAGACATACTGACACATACAGACACAGACATACTGACACACACACAGACATACTGACACACACAGACATACTGACAGGCATACACACACAGACATACATTTAGCCACCCTCCAGGTTCTTACCTTTTCCTGGAGGGTGGTTTCCCTGGTCCAGTGGCAGGCTGAGGCAGATGGGAGTTCTCCTCTGGAACTCCCCTCCTCCCTGCCTTCCTCCTCCCGCGCGGCTATCTCCAGTGGGAGGAAGTGACGTCACTTCCTCCCAGCCGGCTGCAGAACCGGAAGAGGGGCCCGGTCGCGCTGTTTAAGCGCCACAGCGCCCGACCGGGCCCCTGCTGACACATGCTTAGTGCATGGGCCACCCGGGGAGCCTCCTCAGTGTGCGGGAGCCGCACCGCAGGGCCTGCGCAAATCGCGGGGCCCACAGAGCAGCTGCTCTGGGCCCCCAGGAGCAACTGGGCCCGGGGCAGCTGCCCCGTTTGCCCCGCGTTAAAGACGGCCCTGGTTACCTGTAACGTGATTGACACCAAAGTCTCATCTCACCACACAGTCACTTGCAGAAGCCTCCACATCATATATATTCATCATACTCTGACAGCATATTCACCACAGACACGGCAGTCTCTCTGAAAACATTCCAGATGGCCACTCCAGACCTACAAAGCATCGTATTGTGGGCCACAAGTGCAAACCCATACAGGCTTTGGCTAGCAAAAGCATGCACAATACTTGTCTGGTACCTTACTCCCATAGTAATGTACTAATAGGGATCCCAACACACCTCAAGGTATTTTCAGTCAGCAGAATAAATTATGCTTAGAGACTGCAGCCTACAAACCGTGGGTGTTAGTGGACTGAGCGGCAATTCCTTCTCCCCGACAGTCTTTTCATGGCTGATCGTGTGCCACCCTCTGCCACACATTAGCCCAAAAAACTCCATGAAGAAAACTTGTTAATTGAAACATCACTGTTAGCGAGGCAGGTGGATTCCTTTTAGCTGCATTAAATGATATAAATGAAGCCAAAAGATGTTGAGGTTCATTCATGAAACCTCGCTATGTGGATAAACAACAAGGGAATTGCAAATGTCAGGTCAATATAGAGGAAGTGGAGAAATGATAAAACTCAGCACCTGTTCTAGCTTTGCTATTTTGTCCAACCATCTGAAATTAATTGAGCAAATTTAACAAATATTCTGGATAAGTGCTTACATGCCATTTTATCCTTAATTTTCAAGCAGGTTTTTGTAGACCTGGAACATTTATTATTATTATTATTGTTATTATGTTACTGTCAAAAATGAAGTGGAAAGTTGCGGATGCCATTATTACTGATATATGAGGTGTGTACTCTTTCGCCTATTCAATGGTCCTGTACAGTCAGCCCAACAGTATAAAGGAAACACTCTCTTCCTGTGTTTGAATAGCAGAATACTCAGCAGGGCTTTGCATTGTAGGCAGTTTCCTAAAACTGAAATGGTTAAATCTTACCTTCCACTTCAGACACTCTGTGTATCCTGCTTCATGGACTATATATGCAGCCAGGTAGAGAAAGGAGGCTTAGGGCTCATTTCCAACTTTGTGTTTATTATGTGCCGCAAGCTTTTATTATCACTAATTACCACAAAGTTTCCAACTTGGTCTCTTTCTTTTTAATGTACTACTGCTAGTGATGTCAATGGAAACTGACTGTGATCACCACATAGTAATTACCATTGTGAAAATTGACAAATACAGTGCAATAAACAATAAATTACCATAGTAACTTAAACAGGGACAAAGTTAAAGGGACACTATAGTGTTAGGAATACAAAACTGCAATGCTAACACTATGGTGTCCACCTGCCCCATCTCCCTCGTGCCCCCCAAGCTTTGAGGTCACTCAGCGCTGGATCACACATCTCCGGCGACAGCCAATTGGGGCACCAAGTGTGCATGTCCAGCGAGTGCCGCATGCACCTTAGGCTTTCCCCATATAAAGTATTGATTGACTCAATGCTTTCCTGTGGTGGGATTTGACGACACTGGCATCCTCCCGCAAAGCGTGATGATGTCTATCTTTATTTCAAACTCGGTGAAATTGTCTGGTAAATAGCCACTAGAGACAGGCTTAACCCAGCAGCGAAAACATTGCATTTTTTTCTGAAACTGCATTGTTTGCAGCTGCAGAGCTAAAATGACAGGGACACTGCGCCCAGACCACTTCAATGAAATGAAATGGTCTGGGTGACTATAGTGTTCCTTTAAGACGTTAAATGCTGCAGTGGGGAGCAGTGCAATTGATTGCACTCTGCTGCAGCACTACATGGAATTGAAACATAAACAATACAATTAAAATAAAAAAGTTAGGCCTCTACCCAATATTACTTGAAATAAAATCCTCAAAAATTTCTAAAAATAAAGAAAGCCTCAATTCACAATTAAGACACATTAAAGAAATAACTACAACACAAGAAAAATAATCCATGTGAGCCCATTGATGACTCCATGCTGACATATTATTCGAAGGAGAGAAAGCCTTCATAAAGACATCTCCCTGATTTAAATGTTTTGTCAGCACACTGACAGGCAAGTCTTGCCTTGACCAGTAATGTGAATTGAATTTTTTATAGTTTATGGACAGTTTTAAAATTTGAAAACTTTGCACAACCATAGCTTATCATGTATGTCTTGCAGGGGAGGCTTGGCACTGGCAACAGCATAACAAATAATGCAATTTATAGAACATTGCTTCCAATAACATGGAGCCTGAATATAATATCTACATTATATATTATATATAACATGGAGCCTGAGCATAATTGATATTTAATTTGATGTACTTTTGACTGATGGTTTATCATTTGTCCTTTTATCAGCATTTACACCCACCTAAGGTGCTAGAGAAAGAGGTGGGATGGGTGCATTGACTTCTCTATTGCCTAGTACAACTTCAGATATGATGGGACTACACGGCCTGTCACTACATCACCTGATTTCATCACTTCCATTAATAGGCCTTAATCCTTGCATTGCAGTAGCTTTGTGTGTACCAATTCTTTGAGACCATGTGCTGACATCAGCAAAGCTAAACACAAAAGGTCTAGCCCCAACGGTTGTCAAACTGTAAGGTTCATTAAATGTAGCAGGGGAGATCCTGCAAGAACTATTACCTGTTGTATTCTAAATAACTCATGCAAAATTGAGTTTTTCATGAGAATTCCAGTTTTGCTGAGAACTCTATGGCACGAATACATGATTTATTTTAATGATGGTTTTATATACAGTGTTCCTATCAGTGAATGTTTGATACCCTTATTATCACTACCATACATGGGCGGACTGACCACTCGGGCACTTCGGTCATGGGCCGAGAGCCCGAGGCAGCCAGGGGCCCGGCGAGACAGCCTTGCTCCAGCTGGAGGGATCAGATCAGAGATCTCTCCAACTGGAACGGCAAAAAATAAATAAATAAAACTTTTTAATTGATAGGTTGTGGGGCCCCACAACCTACCGCTCTGTAAGTCACCCCCCCCCCCATGAGACCTGGCGGCTTTACCAGCTCTCTGCCAGGTCTCCTTCTCCCTGTCCCGCGGTGCTCTGTGTGATGGGAGAGGAGGGGCTAGGAAGTGACATCACTTCCTGTTTACTCCTCTCACACAGAGCCCAGCGTGGGGAAGGAGCAGCAGCCGGGGAGAGAGCAGAGGAAGCAGAGAGACAAGTAGGCTCTAGGTACCCCTCCCCTCACTGTCACTAGTCACCCCCCCTTCACTGTCACTAATCACCCCCCCTCACTGTCACTAATCACCCCCTCACTGTCACTAATCACCCCTTCACTGTCACTAATCACCCCCTCACTGTCACTAATCACCCCTGTCACTACAATCACCCCCCTCACTGTCACTACAATCACCCCCCTTCACTGTCACTAATCACCCCCTTCACTCTTCACTAATACCCCCCTCACTGTCACTAATCACCCCTCACTGTCACTAATCACCCTCACTGTCAGTCACTAATCACCCTCACTGTCACTAATCACCCCTCTCACTGTCACCAATCACCCCCTTCACTGGCACACCAATCACCCCCTCACTGTCACTAATCACCCCCCCTCACTGTCACCAATCACCCCCCTCACTGTCACTAATCACCCCTTCACCTCGTCACTAATCACCCCCTCACTGTCACTACAATCACCCCCTCACTGTCACCAATCACCCCCTTCACTGTCACTTCAATCACCCCTCACTGTCACCAATCACCCCCTCACTGTCACTAGTTACCCTTCACTGTCACTAGTCACCCCCCCTTCACTGTCACTAGTCACCCCCCACTGTGTTACTAGTCAACCCCCCACTGTCACTAGTCACCCCCCCACTGTGTCACTAGTAACCCCCTCCCTCACTCTGTCACTAGTCACCCCGTCCCTCACTCTGTCACTAGTCACCCCCTCCCTCACTCTGTCACTAGTCACCCTCTCCCTCACTCTGTTACTAGAGTGAGTGGGTGACTAGTGACAGAGTAAGGGGGGGGGATGACCAGTGACAGAGGGAGGGGGTGACTAGTTACAGAATGAGGAAGGGGGTGACTAGTGACAGAGTGAGGGACGGGGTGACTAGTGACAGAGGGAGGGATGGGGTGACTAGTGACAGAGTGAGAGGATGACTAGTGATAAAGTTAGGGAGGGAGTGACTAGTGACAGAGGGAGGGATGGGTTGACTAGTGACAGTCACCACCTCCCTCACTCTGTCACTAGTCACCATCTCCCTCCCTCTGTCACTAGTCACCCTCTCCCTCATTCTGTCACTAGTCACACCCTCCCTCACTAGTCACCCCCCCGTCACTAGTCACCCCTCCCTCACTCTGTCACTAGTCACCCATTCCCTCCCTCACTCTGTCACTAGTCACCTCTCCCTCACTCTGTCACTAGTCACACCCTCCCTCACTCTGTCACTAG